TTAACAGGGTCATTTATTTTGGTTCTAGATGCACCAATTGGTCAGCTGTGATACTATCTCATACTATGATATGATATGTGATATATGGTATATGATATATGATGTATTATTTATTATAGGATAGGATACACTGTTATGTGGGAACTCTGGTGGGTTAGTGGTAAGGAGTTGTCCTACAAACCCAAAGGCAGGCTGTTTGAATCCACCAGCTGCTCTGCATGAACAACAATGATATGAGAAGGGATATGTAACGTGAAATCCACTTCTAATGTCTTAGATATTCGAGTGGCTAAATTTGCACGTGGAAGGAGCATCAACTTGGCCCTTTCTTATAGGGGACGACAAGCTTTGAAAGCTATTGGCATGGAGGAACAGGTACTTTGTTAATGTGTTTTCCTCACAGATGTTGCTAAATGTCTTTTTATTTCTTTAACTATTTTAAAATTGTGATTTTAGTGAACATTTACAAAACAAATTAATTTTATTCAACATTCGCACACATTTCATTCTATAACATTTATTTCAGTATTCATAATGAAATTTTACTTCTTCCTACTTCTTTCCTGAAAGTATGATTTCCATTAATCCTTATATGCCTCTCTGTGTCTTCCCATTCTTTAGCGATTTTTAAAAAACTATTCCTTTATTGTATACCACCTTTCTTTTTACTTGTCTGTTATTGTTCTTTTTTATGCACCATGAAGTCAGAACTGGCCCATTGCTGACTCTTCAGTGGATTTTCAGAAGCAATTAATCACATAAGAGGTAGTCAATCCATCCTCCTGTGGAGGGATATGAACCATGTGTCTTCGGGATTACAGTGCAACTTCTTTCCACAAGGCCACCAGAGCTCCCTATCTTGTGCCTATTATCTGTTTAGGGAGTTTTGGTGGTCTAGTCCATATGGTGGATTGCTCCTTCTCAAAGACCATGCCTCTCTGGCTGTATAAATCCTCCAGTGGCTCTGAGTAAGAAAGATGGGCAGTCTCCACGCATGGGATATTTACAGACTCAGGAAATGATAGTCAGCTATGAGTTGGTTTCCATTCAACAGCAATGAAAGAGAAAGATTGTCTGTTTACTGATTTTTGCTCCCTTCTCCTTTTCTTCCCATCCCTGGTCATCATTCAAGAATGAGTCTGTGAATAAATCTTTCTTTAGCTTTCTATAATAGAGGTCTCAAACAATATTTGTTCTTTCTGTGACTGACCTATTTCACTTAACATATTGTCCTCTCATCCATTGCGTGTTAGTGTATTTCACTGATAGTCTATTGAGCACTAAAAAGCTCGATGTGTTCTTGACAACCATAATGACCTTGTGATTTCACTTTGGTTTGAAGCACTATCTACTGCCAAGAACCTCTGCATGAGAAGGAATTCTAAAGAGGATTTGAAAAAAAAAAAAGAGGTTTTCAAATGTCTGCATTCTACAAAAGGAAAACCTTTGAAACTTTAGATGGGGGACCAGAGCATAACAGGAAATACTGCACATGTACCTCCTGAGACACTGGGCTTTCAGAAGGATGGGATCTCTGTCAGAGAGAGAGAAAGAGAAAGAGAGAGAGAGAGAGAAACCTAGAATCAGAGGAGGCAGGAGAACTCCATCTTTTTTGTTATCTTGGAATTGATTCACAGCTGACTGTTCGTTGAGTTTCTGAGGCTGTCTATTGCATGGGAGGAACTTGTCCATCTCTCTCTCCCAGAGTTGCTGGTGGACTTGAACTTTTTGATTAGTAGTGCTACTCCCTATTGACTACCTACAAGAATTAGCTCCTGGTTGTTTTGTTTTGTTTGTTTGTTTAAATTTAAAATTTTATACTTGTTTAATTACAGAGTTTGAATACAATGTTCAGAAAAAAAGGAAAAAAGAAGACCATGGCTTGGATCATTCATGTCATAGTTTTTAAACTGATGTCTTTGCTCTTTAGCACTTTGGAGAGAACCAATTTGATTCTTGACTGCTAGTACCAAGAATGTTGATTGTGGATCCAAGTAGGATGAAATTGTTGACAATGTCAGTCTTTTCTCCGTGTATCATGACGTTGTCTGTTGGTCCAGTTGTGATCATTTTTGTTTTCTTGATGTTGAGATATAATCCATACTGAAGTCTTGGATCTTCTTTAGCATGCACTTCATGTTGTCTTCACTCAGAACAAGCAAAGTTGTCTTTTATCTATATATCACAGGTTGTTGAAGAGTCTTCTTCTGATTCTGATCTCATATTATTTTTCATAAAGTCTGACTTGTAGTATTAAAAAAAGAATTAGCTCCTGTGATTACATAGTCATAGTCTCTCCTATAACTAGGCATATTCTCACCCATAACACTTTTCTCCAAAGCACTCTGCATCAGCCACAAAGCAGTGAAACCTTTTTGTGGTCTCTCCTTCTTTCATCCCTATTGTTATGAATACACTTTTCTATAGACACAATGTATTTTCTTATGGGAGGTACCCCAAATCCCATTGAATATCATAGATTCACCATATGTATTACCTTACTTGTTTAAAATTTGAAAACTTCTCCAAGGGTTTACCTAAGGGGTTCTGCACAAGTCATATTTTTTTGTTTGATAGTATAATCATGACAATGTTTTGAAAAGGTACCAGTAAATCTACTGCCATGTGCTTGACACTGACTTCAAAGGTGGCCCTATAAGGCATGCTGTTCAAATCCACCAGCTGCTTCACAGGAGAAAGAAGAACAGTCTTCTCCCGTGCGATTAACAGCTCCCAAAATCCTGCTGACGAGTCAGGTCAGCTCTGGGTCAGTTTCAACTTGACAGCACACAACTACAACAACAGCACGTGTGACTAGATCTGTCGCCTGCAAGGCTTTCAATGGCTGGTATTCAGAAGTAGGCCTCCAGAACATTCTGCTGAGGCATCTCTGGCTGGAATAGAACCACCATGTTTTCTTTCATCCACTGAGCATGTTAAGTGTTTCTACCACCTGACACTCTTTTAAATGATAAGTCCAGGGTTTTCCATTACAACCATTTTTCCTACAGAGCAATAGCAGCATGTGTCAGGATTTACTCTGTGTGGGGTTTAAGGAGCCCTGAGTTTTTCGTCTCCTCTTTTGTGTTATAAGAAAATGTCTTTGCCTCTGTTAATCAACTCCTTTCTTCAATCTGAGCTTCTACTGTGCTTCTGTGGTCGTTAACCTTATCTTTTAGTATCCTTTAATGTATCTGAAAACTATATTTCACATAAAAATCAATGTCATCTGACCTATACATGATGCCATATAGTTCAGCAATATTATTTCTGGTTTCATTTCAGATTGTATCCCAAGGTATTCCCATGAGAGCAAGAATGATTCATTCTTTGTCAGGGAAAAAGACTGCAATTTCCTATGGAACAAAGTCTCAGGTAGGTTTTCTCTAGGGACACTCATTTGCTTACTGATTCTTTAAAAGTCTGATGTCTATGTCAGATAAGGAACTTATATCTAGAATTTATAAAATACTTGAGCACCACAACAAAATAAAGGTAAATAATCCAGTTGAAAAATGGGCACAGGATATGAACAGACACTTCACCAAGGAAGACATTCAGATGGCCAACAAGCACATGAAGAAATGTTCAA